TAAAGGCCACCTACACAACTAAGCACCACCTATTGGGATCCACCCTCACAGTTCCTCCCCATCTCTCCCCAAGAACAGATGGCCTGATCTGTCAGTTCTGAAAATGAGGATTGCATTTTGGGAGTGTGTGCTTGGAATAGATCTAGCCTGAACAGGTGATGCTGGTAGTAGTTAGAGGCATCTCTGCCAACCATCTGTGCTGCATTACCTGACCATGCTGGATTAGGGCTTTCCCCTCTTTCCTTGTAGCCATCTGTTTGCAGGTGGCTGCCTTGATACCAGAGTCTTGTTTTTTCCATCAGACACGCATATTCTCATGTATATCATTATTCCAGGCACCATAATCTCGGTTTTATTTCATACGTTTATTTCATTTTCATATGTTCTTTTCCAGATGGATATACAACTGCGTCTGTCAGTGCAGCAGACATCATTAATACAGCAAGTCTGTCCATCTTTTGTAGTATTTTCTGAACTAGGTGTGGAAGTTTGCAGGCAGAAAAAGGAAGGGAAAATCTTTTGCACAAATGGAAATTCACTCAGTGGAACTTTGTTTGCAAAAAGGCTAAAGACTTTCTGGTTAACTAGTCTTGCTTTTCTTTACTAATTTTACTTGTTAAGTTACATTATCTCATAGCAGACATTGTATTAAATATAGTAAAAATACCTAGCAGTTTCCTTTCTTAATTAAAAAAGCTCCTGAACTTGATGCAAATTCCCCAGTTCAGCTGTTTGCACTTTGAAAAGTTTATTAAGTAACTGATTGCACCTGAGTATAGATGGCAATGTATCTTCAGCGAGCATGCCATAGAAAGCAAAGGACAGAAATTATCCATGCTTGCAATCAGTAGTGAGACTGCACTTGGATTACTGTGTATGCTTCTGGTCACCATACCTTAAAAGAAAAAAATTGCCAAGCTGAAGAAGGTGCAGGCCAAAACAGGCCATCAAAATGATTAGGAGGTTAGAACAACTTCCATTCAAGAAAAAAGGGTCCGTTTAAGTTTGAAACAAGGGTGGCTTAATAGAGAAGCAGAACTATATAAAATCATGCATGGTATAGAAAGTATAGAAATAATGTTTTCAGCCATTAAAACTAAATGGAACATTCAGAATGGATAAAAGGCAGTCATTCTTTATACAGCGTTTAGTTTTGCTATGGAATTCACTGCCATCAGATATATTAGACAATTTTAAAAGGGGACTGAACAAATTAATGACAGATTGGGTTATCGTGGCTGCTAGACTTAATTACTATTTAATTTACTATTGCTACCTTCCAAATCATAGCATTCCTTAAATACTAGCTTCTTGAGAAACAGTAATGCTGAAAGCATGGTTCTTCTTCTGTTCATGCTTGTGAACTTCCTAAAAGTTGGTCTGATACATTCTTTGTATATTTTGTTCAGTCCCTTTCTTAAAATCTACACACATAGTGTGAATGAGAAGGTCAGTCTGGTGTGATGGTTAAGGCACCAAGCTAGAAATAGGGAGACTCAGTTCTAGTCTCAACTTAGGCATGAAGCAAGTTGGGTGACTTTGGGCCAGTCACTCTCTCTCAGCCCTAGGAAGCAGGCAGTGGCAAACCACTTTTGAAACTCTTGGCAAGTAAATCGCAGGCAGTAGCCAAGAGTCAAGACTGACTTGAAGGTCCCCGTGCCAAAAAGAGAAAGAAAAATTTAAAAATAATTGAATGAGAGCCAACTTTGTTGAATTAGAATGATTGTGTGGAAATAAATTTTAATAAGTGTGAATTATTTTCATGTAATTTGCAATTAAATCTGGCTTTAACTTTAAAAAAAAATTATAAACAAAGGAATCTTAAACATTTTGCCTAAATGAGTTTTTGTTCTCCTTTTTTCAATGATGTATTACTTCCATTAAGAGCTACATTATTTGATTATATAACTTTTAAGTAACAATTAAATTTCAAATCTTTTCTCTCTGTCAACATATATTTTTGTAGTATTTGGATTCACAGTAACCACCCATCTAGTGAGCTGAAAAGTCCTTGCCTGCTCTAATAGCATACCAGGATCTGGAGTTCTTGTGCAATAAGTTGGGCCCCTAGTGAAGAAAATCAATTTTATGTTCCTTCATTACATTAGTTCAATGTTATTTAGACTTCATGTAAGCACCTACTCCTTTTAAACTTTCTAGAAATTTTTATATATGCCCACTTCACATCTGTAGAAGATACAATTAATAGTTACAATGCAGAAGGAAAAATGGATAGGGAAGGAAAAGGAAACCAAGCAAATTGAACAACTAGTATTTACATAATGATTGCACAATATTCTAGTGGAATTGCAGTTGGAGCTAATTTCTGGGGAGAGGAGCAAAATGACAGTTGGTCCAAGCCTGATACAGTCTAGTAGAAATACTGAGTAATGCTTTTTCAAAAAGACCCACTTGAGAATGCAACTAATAGAATTATCCAGAATGAAGTAGTTTATGTGTGGAGTACTTTGTCCCCCCCTCTCCCCACTTGGAATAAGCTGACCTGAATGTTCCAGGGATTGCTTGCTCATTACTGGAAGTCTATCATCTGGGACCTGAAGTCGTTTTTGATGTTTGAGATGCCATCTGGCCCCGAAATGGGCCCACTGAAGGGGGGAATGGAATGTTCTGGGAGAAAAAGACATGCTTCAGAACATAAGTTACCTTTTTCATAAAACTAAAACCTAATACATGCTAACATTAACAAAATTATTTGAATAATGAACACAAATAACATAAATATTACAGATCTTCCACCCTCGGTAGTGTTTACATTAGTTAGTAAATACTGTGTTTTGAATATATACAGCACACACAATATGCTGTGGTTACATGCATAATTCTGCTTGTATGGGAGAAGAGTTGGTTGAGGAGACTTCTGAAACAGGAACATCCAAACTCAGAGGTGTTGGATTTGATCCCTATATGTATGTTTCAATAAAATAAGATTTTAGTTTTACTAGTAAGATTATTTTTAAAAAATATATGTAGGCATCCAGTACAGTGATACCTCGGGATACGAACGCCTCTGCTTGCGAATTTTTCAGGTTACGACCAGCTCTGGCCCCAAAATTTTACCTCGGTTT